TTGTGTAGATATTTTATCAAAATGTACTACAATCAATGATTTCAGTGATTTCTGTACAGATGTGTTGTCAGTGTCTTTTTCAAATATGGAAGATGTGGAGGACATTAATAATCACTGTTATAATGCGCAACGCAGACTTCTTCAACTCATGAAGACAGATATTGCATATGAAGTTATTGACTCTGATTTATTGGAAACATTTCAAGATACCGAAGATGACACAGATAGTACATCTAATGATGAAATCGATAAATTTTTACAGAAAATAGAAAAGGATAGCATGAAAAATGATAGCGGAAATCGTCCTAAACCATATTATTGTCCAGACTTCGGAAAGCGCCTTCTAAAATTGAGTAAATATTTTGCGCTATGGACTGCAGTCATATCTGCAAAAGAAAACACTTTGAATAACTCTATAAGTGAAATAAATTTAGTTGCTACTTCTTCTCGTAGCGAAGAATATTTTAGAGAAGTTAAAAATCTAATATTTAAAGATTCAAAATCAATCCGAATTGACAAATTTATTATATTGCATTTAAGATCATTAGCTGGAACGATGAAACTTTTAAATGCACCTAATACTTTTTTACGTGAAAATAAAATAAAATCTAACAATAAAATATTTGATGAAAAAAAAATATCATTTTCTAATAATATATATAATAATCCAAATATTTCTCATATTAATCCTCATAATACTAATGATGATACTAATAATAACACTAATGATAATGATAGTGATATTTTCAATAATTCTGATAAATATGTTAAGTCTAATAAAAATATTGATTGCAGTCTATCACATAAAATGAGAAGCAGATACTGAAACAATAATAATATATCTGAAGTCATCGATATATCGGATGAAACTGTAAATGACACAAATTCATTCTTAAATGAAATGGAATCGTGGAAAGGTCTCAATAAAATAAAAAAGCCACGAGGAAAATATCTGACTGCATGTCCGCAAATTGAAAATTTACATAAGCGACCGAAATTCAGTTATACTACCCCCTTATTAACCAATGGCAATTGTATACTTCCCGCCAAAATTAAGAACAAACGTATAATGATAAAAATATGATGCAACAATACAATGTATTATTGGCGGCTACCGCGATTGGCCTCAGTATAATCAACATGTGGATGTGTAAGTTTAATTTGTCAAAATATTACGGAACTTCGCAAAAAATATACGACGAGCGAGCTACAAAATGAGCAATGTTATTTCTCCGAAGAAGTTTTAGATTGTGCTATGAAATCATCTTTAATTTATAAGTAAATAATAATAATGTGAATCATTCGAATTCACACATCAATGCAAAGATTGTGAATTTCGAACACCTGTGTTAAATGTAAACACAATTCCATTTTACATTGCAAATTGAAATGGGAATCGTGGAAAAATCTAAAAATGAAAAAGGCCATGTTCAAAAGAAGGTACTCAAAAATTTAAACGATCTAATAATAAATTATCACGAAAAGTAACTGATAATTCAATTTTCAAAGTGAACATACGTATATTATCTAAATTTAGTAATAATATATTACCATGAAAAGTAACTGTGATATTTTATTCAAGGTGCAAGTTCACATTGAATATACATACATATAAGCTGAACAATTCTAGAAAAAAGTGCGATATGTTATTCTTAGTGCACAAAAAATAATAGTCCTAGAGATTTGATTTGCAACTAGCCCGTACAATGAAAAATAATTGCTCGTAATTGAGTACCAATTTGTTAATGACTCAGAAAAATAACATGGCGGCCTGCTCTCCTTTCGATGGGTATAATAAAAATGTTGTGAAAATTGTATAAATTGTCCAATCTTTCCAACGATTTTGTTAAAACTTATGTATAAAACTTTATGTTCTTACGGAACTTCGCAAAAAATATACGACGAGCGAGCTACAATAATGAGCAATGTTATTTCTCCGAAGAATGGTGTTTTAGATTGTGCTATGAATGCATCATCTTTAATTTATAAGTATTTAATGCATAATGTGCCATCATTCGAATTCACACATCAATGCAAAGATTGTGAATTTCGTACAAAACACATAACACCTGTGTTAAATGTAAACACAATTCCATTTTACAAAAATGGTATAAAAGGATTGCAAGAAGCAATTGACCAATGTTGCAAACTAAACAATTATACGTGCAATCGTTGCAAAAGCGCAAAAGTGAACTCAATGTGTATTGGTGGAAATCATATATTTATAGACATAGAATGTCTCGAAAATGATTTATTAGCAACACGTCTTGGATATCCGAATTCCTGCAAACAATTCACTTTAGCTGAATTACCCGATGAATTACACTTTTATCAAAAAAAATATAAATTTGTCGCTGCAATTATTTTCATCCCAGGTCAAAGTATTGGTCATTATGTATCATACATACGTAAAATAACTGGAAAATGGGAATTGTATGATGGTCTTTCAACGGATAAAAAATCATGTACCATAACTGACCGTGCACTTTTGCAGAAAAGAAGAATACATTTATTATTTTATATCCAAATTTAAAACTCAGAAATAAGATAATAAAAAACACCAAAAAATTTGATGTTTATTTACGAAGTAGACACATATTAATTGCTTTTCTTATTAGACTTTTACTTTTCCAATAAATAAAAAAGATTTATAGTTTTAATAATAATGGCTGCATTTTTTATTAAAAATTTTTATTTTTTACTTTATACTTCCTATTTTTATTAAATGTCTGCATAATAATAAGTCTTTATTATAATAATAAGCTATATACCTTTATATAATATATAACTAATGATATTTAAAATATAATAACAAAAATACAATAAAAACTACAAAAAAATAAATAAATACAAAAACAACAATAAATAAAAATTTTCAGTTTAAATAATCTTGGCTCCATTTTTTATTAAAAATTTTTATTTTTTACTTTATACTTCCTATTTTTTATTAAATGTCTGCATAATAATAAGTTTATTATAATAATAAACTATACGCCTATATACTTAATATATAATAACTAATGATATTTAAAATATAAAAATTATATATGGTAACTTATTGTTAGAATAAAGATTAATCTATACTAATAATAAAATAAGTTATAATAAATATATAAAACTATATCTACATAAGCTATAAAATATATTTAAATATAAAAAAATAAAGTGACAAAAATATAATAAAAACTACAAAAAAAAATTAATAAATACGAAAACAACAAAAAATATTTTTAAATTGCGTTATTTGTTTATTGTAAATATGTTGTAATTTTTGAACCGTTCAACTACAAACGAATCGAAAATCACTACAAACAACTACAAACGATTCTGAAGAAGACTGCGCAAGCGGATTCGCGATATCTCAAAAATTGACAAAGTTAGCTATTACTGGTATAAACAATTGTTTATAACAAATGACCCGTTCGACTACAAACGAATCGAAAATCACTACAAACAACTACAAACGATTCTGAAGAAGACTGCGCAAGCGGATTCGCGATATCTCAAAAATTGACAAAGTTAGCTATTACTGGTATAAACAATTGTTTATAACAAATGACCCGTTTGACTACAAACGAATCGAAAATCACTACAAACAACTACAAACGATTCTGAAGAAGACTGCGCAAGCAGATTCGCGATATCTCAAAAATTGACAAAGTTAGCTATTACTGGTATAAACAATTGTCTATAACAAATGACCCGTTCGACTACAAACGAATCGAAAATCACAACAAACAACTACAAACGATTCTGAGGAAGACTGCGCAAGCGGATTCGCGATATCTCAAAAATTGACAAAGTTAGCTATTACTGGTATAAACAATTGTCTATAACAAATGACCCGTTCGACTACAAACGAATCGAAAATCACTACAAACAACTACAAACGATTCTGAAGAAGACTGCGCAAGCAGATTCGCGATATCTCAAAAATTGACAAAGTTAGCTATTACTGGTATAAACAATTGTCTATAACAAATGACCCGTTCGACTACAAACGAATCGAAAATCACTACAAACAACTACAAACGATTCTGAAGAAGACTGCGCAAGCAGATCCGCGATATCTCAAAAATTGACAAAGTTAGCTATTACTGGTATAAACAATTGTTTATAACAAATGACCCGTTCGACTACAAACGAATCGAAAATCACTACAAACAACTACAAACGATTCTGAGGAAGACTGCGCAAGCGGATTCGCGATATCTCAAAAATTGACAAAGTTAGCTATTACTAATATAAACAATTGTTTATAACAAATGACCCGTTCGACTACAAACGAATCGAAAATCACTACAAACAACTACAAACGATTCTGAAGAAGACTGCGCAAGCGGATTTGCGATATCTTAATGTTGGGTGCGAGTTATTTAAAAAATTTTTTTTTTATTAATTAAATTAACTACAAACGAAATTTATGTTACTACAAACAACTACAAACGAAATGCTATCGATTTCTGTATTAAAAAATTAATTTTGAAAAAGTCGGGTGCTAAGTTCACATAGGTGGCTGAGTCGTCGTCACTCCGGGCAACGCTATATCTCAGAAGCGTCGCTAAACATGTTAAGATTGTACCTTCCGCCAAATCGTCATTATTATTACATAATTTATATTTTTGTTAAATAATAACTGAATATTAACTTAATATTCAATTATTATTTAACAAAAATATAAATTTAGGGCCTAAATAAATAGAGAGCTAACCCTTTCTTCCCAAACCTAGAGTAATAGAGGAGGAAAGAAGGTCACCCGGACGTGACAAATGATAAAAACGTCTAATTCTAAGTTAGATCATTCGTAAAAAAGTTGATTATATAGTTTCTCGCAAGAAATGATGTTAGCGCAAAAAAATTAGGGTTTCGACCAATGGCAGGACGTCACACTTTCAAGTGTTCATTCTGAACGCAGCCTAGGGGAAAAGACACCATCCTAGGGGAAAAGATACGCTGGTATATAGGAATTATTTGTGGTAGATTCTATTAGTGCTATTTCTTCTATATATATTTTATAGGGGGATGAAAAAGTTGGAAAAAGATAAAAATAAAACGGACAATAAGATGAATTCAACTTGACCATTGTAATTCATTAAAAAAGAACTGATATATGCAACGAGATATATGCAATAATAAAATCATATAATGAGTGTCGAATTGCATCCTAAATAACGAGTAATAGGCTTAATTCGTTTGTGGATCTCTTCTCACACACACACACACACACACACACACACACACACACACACACACACACACACACACACACACACACACACACACACACACACACACACACACACACACACACACACACACACACACACACACACACACACACACACACACACACACACACACACACACACACACACATATATATATATATTACTTTCTTATAAGATTTAAAGAAGAAAAGTTTCACAAGATTCAAAGTGCAGCTCAAAGATACAGGCTCACATCGGTCATGCGAGCGACAAACGTTATTGTAGGTAAATGAAATCAAAAACCGATACAGTAGATGATGTGGATATTAACAGCGCTTTTGGGTGTGTTCCACGTCGCGTTGAGGTTATCTCATGCGCAATGGACTGACAGCTTTTTTGATTTTGGCTATTTCAGAATATAAGTGCATAGTTAACGGAAAGCCTATAACATGATACACTCTTTTTTCGAGGAGAATGATGCTTGGTGTTATTGGGTTGTTTCGGTCGGCGCCCTGTTGTCATTTCTTGGCCTCATTGCTGCCTGTATTTGTAGCTGTCGACGGAATGAAAACAAGTGAGTATACCAGAGATTTATCATTAATTTGACTTTAATTGATATTAAATGGACTTATATATTTTTAAATTAAAAAATGTATTAAATTTACTTATTGTGATAAATTTAATACCTCTACAATAGTTTATAAATAATTTATTAATTATATTTTATCATTATTATCAACAAATACAATGGAACACAATGAGATATTTTTGATTAATAGTATTTTTTAACACATAATATATATACATTAAATTATCTACATTTATAAATGATGATTTTTACATTGTTTTTATACTAGATAATTTATATATATATATATATATATATATATATATATATATATATATATATATATATATATATATATATATATATATGTTAAACTTTTGTTTAAAACATTTTTATCTGTCATGCTCAGTTTTCAAAATATTTGGTATGTATGAGTGGACTCCGACACCCTGTATATGACTCAAATATAAAAAAAATGATTTAAAATGATTAGCTCCCTTCTTGGCTAATAAGCTGATTGAATAAATTATCTATCCATTTAAAATGATTAACATATAGCATAATAAAAAACATGAAAATGTAAGAGATAATATATAAATTATAATTATATATATATATATATATATATATATATATTAATTATAATTTATATATTATTTCTCTTACATCTTCAGATTGTTTTTATTATGCTATATGTTAATCATTTTTAATCATTTTAAATCATTTTTTTTATATTTGAGTCATATACAAGGTGTCGGAGACCACTCATACATGCCAAATATTTTGAAAACTGAGCACGACAGATAAAAATGCTTTAAATATATTTACATATATATATATATATCATTTTAAATGGATAGATAATTTATTCAATCAGCTTATTAGCCAAGAAGGGAGCTAATCATTTTAAATCATATATATATATATATATATATATATGTATATATATGTATATATTTATGTATATATTTATGTGTGTGTGTATATATACATATATATGATATATATATATATATATGTAGTACCTGTATATAAATATATACTTATATACCATGTACACACACACACACACACACACACACACACACACACACACACACACACACACACACACACACACACACACATACACACACACACACACACACAATATATATATATATAATACAACTGATTCAGAATTTGACATTTGTTACACAATTATATTATGATAGGAATGAGTTTTTGGGACTTGCTGGAATGGTAACACTAAATAATTCTGAAACAGATGGTTTTAACAGAATTCCAACATTGAATGTATCTCAAGTTGTTACTCAAGATATCATTGATGGTGCAAAAAGGTTTTTATCTAACAAATTACTAGGTATAAATGCTTCGAGGCATGTTAGCCTTCTAGCAAATACATTTTTAATTTTATTTAATTTTATTTTGTAATTTTCTAAATTTTTATTGTACATAGACAAATTAATAATTTTTTACATTAATTGTTTTTTTATTAATACTGTACTGTCTTGAAAATATACAACGAATTTTTATAATATTCTAAGAAATATTTCTAAGATTTAATATTTCATAGAAATATATTTTATGTGTGCATGTATTTTTATTTTTATTAAATAAAATATTTTATTTATGTAGAACTACAACAGGTGCCAACAGAAGTCTTCCAGATATTCCAAAAGATAAAAGCAAAGAACATGAAGATGTAGTGAGTTCTATATCACCAGGTATTTATGAAATTACTGAGACTATGCGAGATCATTCAGAATTATATGCTACTGTCCAGGATGCAGGTAATTGTCTTCATAATAGTAAAGAGAGAAAAATAAGAAATTAGTGTTACAAAAATTAAAACAAAGTTTTAATCTTTATTATTTATTTTTTGAACTTTTATATTTCAGTACAAGAACAGATATCTGAAAGAGAGACACAAGAAATAAATCAGCAAAATTCTTTGATACAAGATGCGTCTCATCAATATGCAAGATTTACATCTCTCTCTGATAATAGTAAGCAAATTATTATTGTTATAAATTTTTTCTTGTATTTGCAATAATATTCCAATATTTATTTTAGTTGAACACCCTTATGCACAACTTCAAAATTTCCAGAAGACTGAGGTTAATCAAGTAAATAGGTACTATTCATTTACCATACCTGTACTTTATTTTTTACAAAAAGTACATTTTTGCTATTTTCTATTTTTTATTCCACAGAAATAACGTTAATCAAGTTACGAATAATGAAAATTCGTCAACATCCACGAGTCAATTGGGCGGAAATCCGATTGCGCCGCCACGAACTCGCCGATCGTCCTCACACAATTCGCTTCTTAATTCTGAATTGCACTCCGATATTCAAGCTGCTAACGCTATCTCTGGTAGTATACAGGCTAATCAAGACTTACCTTATATGACGCCGCCCCTCTTAATATTACTGCCGCACTCATCACAATCCCAACATAATAGTGTGCAACAGCACTTCAGTGGAGACTCCCAGGATTCAAGTAAATTGCTAATTTCTTTCTTTATAATCTTCTAATTTTTATATAACAATTTCTGATTAAAATTTTTTTGTAGAAGGATATACAAGCATAAGCGTGAGGGAACCATTAGCCAATATAATTGCACAAACTAAAGCAACTTATAGACCAAATCAATCTACTCGACCAATTATCGATTCTCATTATACCACTGTTTCTGATGATTCTGGTAAATATACTTTATATAGTTGTGATGTATCATAATAACTGTATAAAATGCTCACAATCTGACTATTCCATAGATGAAATGTATGCAGCGATAGATGAACAAGATAAAGTATATACTAGTGGCAGTGAGACATATGCGCAAATTCAACCGATGATGTCAGAGGTTCAAAGACATGCACAAAATGAGCAAACGACGTTTTCTCAGCCCCTTTTGCGCACAGAAGAGACATATCCTGCGCCACAACCGCCAAGTGTTGATAGTTTACGTTATGTTGCACATGCTCATTCCAGACAAGGTAGTAAATGTTGCTCATAATATAATAATTATTAGTATCAAATATCAGTTATCAAATAATAAAATATAGTTAGTTTTAAGAGTAATAAATTATAAGTTTCTTATAATAAATAATTAACTAGAGGAAAAAAGTAGTAAAAGTCAGTGCAATAACTAAAACGTATATATAATTTATTCAAATAATGTAAATTAAAACTTGAAATTTACACTCAGGCATAAAATTAAAAAAAAGGCATACGTTTCTTTAGGTCATCTTCAGCACTGTTAGAGATTAATTTAATAGATTGACATTAAGGTGGGTCCTTGCCGCCGCCATGTTGGATTGCAACGTCAGAGGCGAGAAAGCACACACTGAAAATTCTTAGATGTTATTTGTAAATGAAAAAATATTTTGATGAAACATTATTTCAGAAGACTTTAGTACATTTTTAAAATACCTCAAAAGCTATTCTTTTCCCTTGACAGTCAATCAACAATGTAAAATGATTGTGATATCAGACTTAATTATGCGAAATTACTGCGCGTGTACAAAAACCAGATGGATTGGGTTTCATATTACAGTCATTTTACAGCTCAATTGATTATAAAGGAAAAGAAATAGTTTTTGAAATATTTTAAGAATGTGCTAGAGCTAATCTAAAATGCTCTTTCATTGAAATATCTTTATATTTTGAAATGGCATCTAAGAATTTTTAACATTTTATTTTCTTGTTTATAACAACACAATTCCAACATGGTTGGTAAGGAGCTAGAAGTCTTAAGTTAATGCCACAGTCAATAGATATAATATTCTAATATTATGCAGTTGGTACTATTGTCAGTCATAGTTATTTTTCTATTATTGAGCAATTAATTTTCTCATTTTTAGCATCATCGTCGAGTGCCAATAGTTCCATAATTATTAATCCTGGATCTCCTAAACCCGAAAAACGTCAAGCAAATTCTCCTCTACCACCACCGCCTGAAACAACTGCGGAGGGATACGCGATTGTTGATAAAAAAAATAAAGGCGATGACAGATCGAGATCTTCATTATCAATGGGTAAATCGCTTGAAGATATGTACGCAAAAGTGATGAAGAAAAGAAAGGAAGTAGAAGAGCAGCAAAACGATACTCATTCGAATTCTAATAACCTTCTACATTCTGAAGCAAATAGTTATAGAAAATTGAGTCTTGAAGTTAGCCGGGCATCATGGTGCAGTCATGAATCTGTGGAAATACAGAAGAAGGAACCTGACCTCACTTATTATTCTGTTACAAGCAATAACAAGAGCAACTTTCATGTTGACAATGACAATAACACTTTGAGATTACCTAAAGTCGACACAGACGCAGTTCACTCAAAGATTGATCATGAATACGAGACCGTTAATTCTAACAGTAGTAAGAGAAACTCTATCGTAAGAGGTGACACACATTCTGATTCAAGCTACAACATGTTGCGTTCACAATGTTCGCGAGATATTGATTTTCAGAACACTTCGAAAAATAGCACGGATGTATACTCGGCTTCATTTAAGCACAGACAAATAAGCAATGCCAGTAGTGAAGATCCTGGATATGAAAAGGTGCGTTTGCGACGGCGAGTTGAGTTAGATCAGGACACAGATTCGGAACCAAATTACGAAAGCATGCCACATGATACGGTTGAACCGAATTATGCGTCTGTCTGTCAACCTAGTGACAGTGATACAGACCCGAATTATGAGTCTGTGAGTCACGGTGATCCAAATTACGAGAGTGTGAGGTATATGAGTGTCGTTCAAAATAAGGAACCACCCTATGAACAGGTGAATAATATGTTGGACACAAACGCAGACGGTTATGAGAAAATAAAGGATAAGAAGACGAGTGTCAATTACAAAAACGTAGATCTGAATCTTTCCTTGGAACAAATCAACAACAGGGGAGATACCGATGATGGACAGTACATTCAGGTGTAGCATTCTGATTTTGTTCAGCGATGAAGTGTATTGTTATCGAATTATTTAATATTTTTCCTCTACACATTTCAAACTTTGCTGGAACTGAAAAAGAAAACTAAATTTAACTTCGTATCTTGCGATTTAATGACCCCTAATGTATAAATGCATCAAGTTACATCGATAGCAATAAAATAATGAGAATAAGACTGAAAAAGACAGACAGTGAGAATAAGTTTACGAATAAAAAGCAAAATTATTTTAATTTGATGCATTCTTGAAATGAGTAAATTGAGCCACTATTTAAAAAGTTACTAATAAGTCAAAATAAACTCTTCTAATGTGAAATTGTGTATTATTATATTTAAAATATTGTTCATGCAAACTAAAGCTTTAAAAAATTATTATTTATTTAGTAAACAAAGGACAATTTTTAAAAGGAAAACAATTTTTCATCTCTCTAAAAATTAAAATTTAAAGAAAATTAATAATAATAAAGAAAAATATTAGAATTAGAAAATAGACGTCACAAAAAAAATTAGAGAAAGTTATTGAGCAATATTTCACTTCATGACAGCAATATTTCAATTGTAATATTTGAAAGGAAAATGCTATTTCACACACACAACAAATTATATGGGTAATTATTTTGTAAAAGAAATGATTTTGAAAATATTTTACCATATTTTACAAACAATTATCTTACCAAATTATATCAATATTTTGAGAAAAAAGTTAGAATATGCCAAAAATTATTTTAGCAAAATTATTTTGTTTTAATATAAATAATTGATAGTTATATTTTGTATAATATAGAATATATATATTTTGGATTTTCATGCAATTTTATATTATAAAGGTCTCTAGATACTTTATAATTAGTAAAAACTCAAGACAGATTTGTATTTGTAATGTTTGTTTCGTGTAATGACAGGAAATATTTTAATATGTAAACTTTATATGTAAATCAAAATATTCAGGGTGTATCTGAATGATCTGTACAAACTTTAGGAATAAATTCCAGGGATCTAAACAAGTAGAAAATGTCCCATAAACATGGAGTCAGAAATAATTGCTTTTTGAGTTACAATGGTTCGAAGTTTTCTGCAATGGAGAAATTATCATGTCAAATTGCATAATAATTACAAATTGTATTCATTTACTTTTTTGGTTTTGTCATTGACATAACAAGACAGTACACTTGCTAGAAAATGTTCAAACTAGTCTCCAAAGATATTAGATTCCAAAGAAACTTGTGCTTGATGCTGACATCAGATATTTTTCAATAGATTCTCCATTCAGTATGTATACTGTCCGTTGCAAAACTGAAGAAATAAATATAAATAAATAAGCAGTTTGTAATTCCTATGCGCGATTTGATATAATTTCTCCGACCATTGCAAGAAAACTTTGAACTGTTGTAATTTCGGAAGCAATAAGTGTTTCCGATCCCATCTTCATAGAACATTTTTGCTCATTTAGATCCCTGGAACTTATTCCCAAAGTTTGTACAAACCATTCAAATACATTGTATATCAGAAAAACATATGTATACATTAAAACATGTGATACATACAATTATAAACAGAATTCTATCTATTCTCGAATTTGATTGCGAATTATAAATCATCTAAAAATGTCTTAATAAATTTCTAAATCTTTTCTACGTCTGAGAAATATTTAAATATTGTTTTAAAGTTTATTTTGATTTTTTTTTACAATGAAACGAATTGTAAATATAAAAAAAATGAAACAGTGAAATAGAGAAATAAAAAAGATTAAAAAACACAAATTTGCTTTAAATATTTAATTGTTTTTATTTAAAAACTGTTTAATAACTATGAAGAAATAATGTATAAATGTCAAAAAATAAAAATAAATTAAAAATATAAAAAATATAAAATAAAGAAAAACTTTTTTAATATAAATACGAAAAAACATTTTTCGAAAATAAAAATATAACACAGTGTAGTTAAGGTTAAATTAAAAAATTTTAATATTAAGAATTTTTGAAGAAAATAATTATTTCTATTTCTTTACTAAAAACGTAAAATATCCCTAAATTTTAAATGTATATACATTAGAACATCAGAGACGCGCGTTGTTTTAATTGTTATTAGTTATAAAAATTGTTATGAATATTTAATTGTTATTAGTTTTTATTTCTATGTGTTTTAACAATCAAAATTTTTAAATTATGGAGAATTAAAGATTTGTTTACTAAATATTAAAATATAATATTAAGTATTCTGTATGTGTATGTATATTATGATTACTCTTTTCCACAAATAATAAAATTAATATTTGAGTCTAATAATTTGCATACATTCTATATAAATAAAAAATAATATTATAGACATAATTTGTGTGCATATAGAGGGTGTCCATAAAATTAGTCTCCACCCCCTATATTTTGGAAACGGCTGAAAATTTTTAAAAATCTTGAAATACGTATTTGATTATTGCGAGGGCTACTTTTTTAAAGGGGTTGAGAGTGTTTCCTCAAGAGAGTGCTCCAGGGGGACTCCAACAATAAACAATTTTAAAACCATATATATTATATCGTTCGAAAGAGCATAAAAAAGAAAATTTTTGACGCAAACCAGAGGTTGATACGTTCAGATAAGTTATTTAGGGTCAAAGTTCAAAAAAGATCAATTTCAAAAAAATCATTACTACCAGAGAGAGAAACCTGAGAGCGGCCACCGGGATTCAGCGGCACAGATTAATAGACAGATCGCCAAAGGCCTGCCTAAAGAAGAGACCGCCACCTTCGTGCGATAGACTTTGCCCCTTACCGACACACTTTGCCCCTGGTTCGAGTCCGTGCTAAATTTCGTCACAAGACTTTGCCCCTGGTGCGAGTCCGTGCTAAATTTCGTCACAAGACTTTGCCCCTGGTGCGAGTCCAGGCTAAATTCGTTCGACATTACCAACAGACTTTGCCCCTGGTGCGAATCCAGACTAATTGATCATGAGACCAATTTGAGAGATTTGGCTCCCGTTGTGTGTGTGTGTGTGTGTGTGTGTGTGTGTGTGTGTGTGTGTGTGAGAGAGAGAGAGAGAGAGAGAGAGAGAGAATTTAACATATGCATATATATATAAAATTTATTAAATGTTAAAAATATATTTTTTACACATAAATTTTTTTTATTGAAATAATTACGATTTTAAATGTGTGATATAACACAGTGTTAAAAATTTTTAATTAAATTTTATTAAAGAAAATTACTTGAAATTTTTTACATTAAGAATTTAAAGGCTCCTTATTCTCTTGTAGAAATTTATTACTACGCCAATTAATCACTTATTTCGAGTATTTAAAATACTATAATATACAGTAATTTAAGTATTCGAAATAAAAGTGATTAATTACGAAATACTCGAAATAAGTGATAAATTGGCGTTACTAGTGATAAATTTCTATAAGGGTTAAAATAAAGTATAAGAGATAAATGGGCTATATGTGAGCCGTATGCGAAATGTGAGATGTAAGACGCATATTGAAATTTAATTTTTCGATATAATTTTCAAAAATGTATACGAGGTACAAAAAATTAGCTTAGACATTTGTAAGACTTAAAATTGGGATTAATTCTCAATTCTATTAATTAAATTTCGATATAACACACCTTACATCCGCGCACGGCTCACATATAGCCCATTTATTTCTTAATGCAATTTTTAAGTTCCTTATTTTTCACAAAGTTCACTTTTTTACGTTATCAAATATTTTTGGTACATGTTTTCAAGAATTTTATATTTTTACTTACCGCAGTTTCTTATCCAAATGTAAAATCTTTTATCGCAGTCTATAAAAAATTGAAACAATTTACAATTTTATGATATGATATTATTATTATTACAATTTCTATATATATGCACATCTGTCAAATATCGTGATTTATTTCACATTATTATCTATTTTAATAAAAAAAAAAAACACTTGCAACAATCAAAAATAAACCGCCTGCCGCGAACGGAAAATGCCAAGAAAGCATGCAATTTCCGCGAATCTCGTAATTTTTTTGAAGAATCAACAATTTCAACGAAATTGTAAATTCTTCAAATCACTGCACAAGTATAATTCACAATAATAATTTTCAGTAACGATAAAAAATCGTATACTGAAAACCGCAAACAAAAGTGCAATGGGAATAAGAGTAAAGTCTGTGATAAAATTAATTGGCAATAGAAAATTAATAATTTTCAAATAGAAAAATTTTGAAATTACCGAGGATTTACAAATAATAAAGTAAAAATATGAAATAATTTGTTTTTAAATAATTTATGTTTTCCAATTTTGCTCGCGGAGAGGATCTTTAAAACAAGATTTTTAGAAGAGAAGACCTTTAAAATATAAAGAGGCGAAAACGTTGGAAAAATTAAAGCGCGCGTTTAAACAGATAAACGCAATGAAATAGATACGCAATTGTTTTTATTCATCGCTGTAAGCTCACAAGCTTCTGACGTTCTCGAATGACCACGTCGCGACCGTGTCACAGAACGAATTCCCATTGTGCTTTCGTTTGTGATTTTCAATTCTTACGATTTTTTCGTTATTATTGAAAAATATTGTGACGTGTGTGTGTGTAGTGATCCGATTTTACGAATCTACAGTTTTAACGAAATTGTAGTTTCGATAAAATCACGAGATTCGTATAGAAATTCGCGGAGATAGTGTGCTTTGTCGGTTCGCGGCCGGCGATTTGTTTTCGATTTTTGCAGGTATTTTTCGTGGATCAAAATGGATAACAATAATGTGAAGAAAATGACGATATTCGACAGATGTGTATACAAAGACTGTAATAATATTAAATCAGATAACTGTAAATTGTTTCGTTTTCCACGGAAGACTGATGAAAGATTTGACATTTGGATAAGAAACTGTGGTAAGTAAAAATACAAAATTTTTCTCTTCTTTTTTTATGTTTTATTGGCTTTTGCTGACCTGAAATTAGAAGTCTTATCTTGTCGATTATTGATCTTCAATTAATAAAATTCTTGAAAATATATAAAATATTTGACGACAACGAAAAAAAATTAATTTTGTGAAATATAAAAAAACGAGTGTCTTAAAAATTTCAAGTAACTTTATTTAATGAAATTTCATTACAATTTTTTTAAGTATATTATCAAGGAGAGGTCGTGGTTGACTCTTCACCGATCTCTTTTTGATAAATTTGTATTAAAATTAAGTTGATCTGTGTTCGAAATTTTCTCTCTCTCGTCTAATGCGCCTTGTAATATTTTTTTATTCTTGTAATTTAGAGAAATTTTTATGTTTGTTATAAGACTTAAAGAAAGATGCATGTTTGATCAGTGCTACTAGCACAGCGGGATAGCAC